GACAGGCGCACAAACCCAGCATGCCAGGTCTGACCCCACCTCATTTGTTTGCAGCTGCATTTCCCCATTTTTGTTTTGGCTGTGTCTGTCACACAAGGGCATTCTCCTATTGACTAGCCCTTGGCTCTTTGTGACAGTGGTGTCACTGGCTATTACTGCCTCCCCTCCCCAATCCACAGGATTTCTTTAAGAAGTTTTTATATGAGCCCTTGCCAGTAGAGTCTCACCTGGATCACTGCATGCATGACCACTTCAATGCTGAGATTGTCACCAAGACCATCGAGAATAAACAGGACGCCGTGGACTACCTCACCTGGACCTTCCTGTACCGCCGCATGACACAGAACCCCAACTACTACAACCTGCAAGGTCAGCAAACCTTGGATCACACTGTCCTTGTGTGGTTTTCACAGTTCTTGCTGGCCATGTCCCTCTGACTCCTCACTCACCACTCTCCTTCACAGGCATCTCCCACCGTCACCTGTCTGATCACTTGTCAGAGTTGGTGGAGCAGACCCTGAGTGACTTGGAGCAGTCCAAGTGTATCAGCATAGAGGACGAGATGGACGTGGCACCTCTGAACCTGGGCATGATCGCTGCCTACTATTATATCAACTACACCACCATTGGTGAGGGGCTGGCAAGAGCTGCTGAATCTGTGGGGAGCCTTTCTCTGAAGGGGTACAGCTTTCTGGGACTCGACGATGGGCTTCTGGTGCCCGTGTCTCTTAGAGGGACAGACTGCAGGGGAGGGCAGGGGTGCCCAGACAGTTAACTCTTCCCCCGCTCCATTCTGCTGCTTTTGACTCCTCCCAAATCTTGTGTGTCTGTCAGAGCTCTTCAGCATGTCCCTGAATGCCAAGACTAAGGTGCGAGGGCTCATCGAGATCATCTCCAATGCTGCTGAGTACGAGAACATTCCCATCCGGCACCATGAGGATAACCTCCTGCGGCAAGTGAGGACAACTTGGCTTCAGGAGAATGGCTTGTGTGTCCAGAGCATGGGATCTGTCACCACAGAAAAATCCCAGCATGCCCCTGTCACCCACCCCACCCACCTCTGAGTTTTGAAGGGTTGTGAGTCTGGGGTGGATGGTACTTTGGGCCTGAGAGCTGATCTCAGGCTGCATCACCTGTTTTCATCACCAGCTATTTTTCTTGTGCTTTCCAGTTGGCTCAGAAGGTCCCTCACAAGCTGAACAACCCTAAATTCAATGACCCACACGTCAAGACTAACCTGCTCCTGCAGGCTCACCTGTCCCGAATGCAGTTGAGTGCTGAACTGCAGTCAGATACAGAGGAGATCCTTAGCAAGGTAGAGTGTGGGTACAGTGTGGGCACGGGTGGGAGCACCCACAGGGGCCTGTGAGGTAGCAGTTCTAACCCCTCTCATCCCCCACTCTTGTACTCCGACCCCACTCAGGCGATCCGGCTTATCCAGGCCTGTGTGGATGTCCTCTCTAGCAATGGGTGGCTAAGTCCTGCTCTGGCAGCCATGGAACTGGCCCAGATGGTCACCCAAGCCATGTGGTCCAAGGACTCATACCTGAAACAGCTGCCACACTTCACCTCAGAGCACATCAAACGTTGCACCGACAAGGTGAGCTGGGTCCAGACCTGGCTGAACCTGAGAGTTGAGTTTCCTGGACTTGGAGTGGTGTTGGGGGGAGAGGCACAGCGGGGGAGACTCCTGGTTCTGTCTGGTTCCTGTGAAGGTGTTACACTTTGAGGTGCTAGAGAGCCTTACGAATGTGGGCCATATTCTCTCTGAAGCCATGTCTTCAGGTGGCTGGCTGTGAAGGCTGGAAATCAGCAGCCACGTAGAGCCCGTTTCATTTGTGGTTGCTCCTCCCCTGACCTCTGAATATCCTCTGCAGGGAGTGGAGAGTGTTTTCGACATCATGGAGATGGAGGATGAAGAGCGAAATGCACTGCTTCAGCTGTCTGACAGCCAGATGGCAGACGTGGCCCGGTTCTGTAACCGCTACCCTAATATTGAGCTGTCTTACGAAGTGGTGGACAAGGACATCATTCGCAGGTGAGCCAGAGGGGGCCGGGTCCCCTGCGGTGGGGTCCTGTTGGTGTGCTGTGACTCCACCGCCCTGGCATTGATGTGCTGCCCTGCTTTTCTCCCCATCAGTGGCGGGCCTGTTGTGGTGCTGGTACAGCTGGAGCGGGAGGAGGAGGTCACGGGTCCTGTGATAGCACCTCTCTTCCCACAGGTGTGTATGTCGTGGAGGCTGGCTTTTCCAGGTGTCTGCTGGAGGCCTTTTATCCATTGGTAGAGTCTGAGTGCAAGGGTGCATTGTCACTAAGGTGGAGGTTTAGAGTAATAACTCAGTCATGAGTCATAGAGTGAAAAGTAATCTTGTGGCTATTGGTTTTTTTGTCTTAAACTTTTTAAAAAAATCTGCACCCAAGGACATTTTTCCATTAGTTTCAGAGAGAGAGGAAGGAAGAGAAAGAAACATCAATGTGAGAGAAAAGGTCAGTCATTTACTTAGCTCTCATATGTGCCCAGACCAGGCCTCATGTGGTGCCTGTACAGGGATTGAACCTGCAACCTAGGCATGATCCTTGACCAGGAATTGAACTGCAAACCTTTTGGTTACAGAGCGATGTGCTAACCAACTGACCCACACCGGCCAGGGCTGCCTTAAAACAGTTTAGGCCCTGGCTGGTGTGGCCAGTGGATTGAGCACTGACCTTTGAACCAAGAGGTCACTGGTTCGATTCCTGGTCAGGCCACATGCCTGGGTTGCGGGCTAGGTCCCCAGTTGGGGGCGAGTGAAAGACAGCGGTTCCATGTGTCTCTCACACATTGATGTTTCTCTTCCTCCTTTCCCCTCTAAAAGTCAATGAATAAAATCTTTAAAAAACCTTTTTTCTTTATAAAAAGTTTAGATGACTGGTCATTGTTAAAAATAGCAGTTGAATGTATTGTCAGTCTGTGACTATTAAAACACAAGTTACTTAAATGGCTTCAGGACAGTTGGACTTTTCTAGGTGTTTCTTCTCTGCCACTTACTGTGCTTCCAGTTGCTTGTTTTTTAACACCAGAAAGAAAAGCTGATTCCTTATTTGGGAGAGTAATCGAAGGTTGAAACCAGATACACTAAGTTTAATTTTACAATCTGGTTAAATACATTCTGAGAAATGCTTTGATTTGGAATTCTTGGACTTTCTCAGAGTGGAGTGGCCAGTAAAAGTTTCTTGATAGAGGCAAGGCCCACCTTGGATCCTGTCTGTGGGTAGGCTGGGCTCTACCTTTGTTTTAAATCTGGCAGAGTTGCCTTAAAAAGGTGTCTGAAGAACTCAGAGCTGTTGGGCCAAATAGTCTAGATTTCTAACAGTGGAATCTCAGAAACAGTGGCAAGTAGTGAATGGAGAAGGTACTTCGGGAAAAGAAGTAAGCCTGAACCAAAATACGAGTCTGCCTGCTACTTAAACACTGAATTCATTTGAGATGCTTTATAATAGTTTCAAAATCTTAGTTTTATTAAATTAAATTTCAGAAGGAAATTTTAAAAAGCTTCCTTTCTGGTTTGTTTTCCTGCTTTTGTAACCATTCTCATGGTCGCATATGAATGTCAAGTAGTGTCATGTGATGAAATTTTTGGTTTCTGGTCACTGCAGAAACGTGAAGAGGGCTGGTGGGTGGTGATTGGAGATGCCAAGTCCAACAGTCTCATCTCTATCAAGAGGCTTACCCTGCAGCAGAAGGCCAAGGTGAGTATCCAGTGGCCCAGCATTTGTTCTGAGACAGGGGCAGGGTGCTCTCCCTGTGTCCTACTCCCCTAATTCCTTCCTGTTTTCTGTAGGTGAAGCTCGACTTTGTGGCCCCGGCCACCGGCGCCCACAACTACACTCTGTACTTCATGAGTGATGCTTATATGGGATGTGACCAGGAATACAAATTCAGTGTGGATGTGAAAGAAGCTGAGACAGACAGTGACTCGGATTGAGTGCAGAGGCCTTGGCAAAGAGGAGCTGAACCTGAGTCAGGAACTTGGACAGTTCTGTGGGATCACAGCTGTGGGGACCAGGTCCGTGGGCAGGGAGAACTGCCAGTCAGTGCAGGTGCTGCCCCAGCCCACTTCCACCCCATTTCCCTCTTGCTGCTCTGCCATCCAGGCTTTGGATCCAGTGTGTGCAGGTGTCATGTAGCTGTTGAGCATAAACTGTACAGCATTTTTAGGTATGCTGTTGGTGGTTCTTTAAATAGAGCTAGACATTCTGAAATAAATTGGAGAAACCATTTGTCTTTGCAGTGATTGCAAATCAAGTTTCTTTTCTTTAACCTGAGGCTTTTGGTGAAAAAGATTTAACCACTGAATTTAGGATTAATACTTCTGGAGGACAAGGCTGTTCTTTGGGCTGTCACAGGCACCCATTCAGCAGGTATGAAGGAAGGGTTAGGTAGCTTCTTTTTAGTCAGTATACCTGGGCCCCCACCTCGTTACCCAGTATCACCACCACTGCAGGGACTGGGCTTCAGGGAGAGAGCACAGACTAGAAGTTCCTCAAGATCTATAGTTTGGCCCCCCACCATTCCAACAAGGAGGCGGCACAGGAGGGACTGAAGGGCTCCAGCTGGGCGTGGCCCACGTTTGGTACACTGATACTGTGATCTTGATCTGTAAAATTTCCTCTTCAAATTTTTGCCTCCTGTTCCATAGGAGTAACTACATAAAACTGAAAGATTCTCAAGGGTAACTTCCTTGGATCAGCTGTTTGCAAATGATTTGGTCTCAGGAACCCTTTACACTATAAAAATTAAGGGCCCCAAAGAACTTATTATCCACTGATACTTAATGTATTAAAATTAAAACTGCATTAAAAGTAATTTACATTGACTTTCTATAAAAACAATACAGGCAGAAAAGCGGCCTGTGATGTTTTTATAAATCTTGTTCCTGATTTAAAAGACTGATTCTTGTAGTTGCTTCTATAATTGTGTATGTTACTTAAGTTGAAGTAAAACTGACTATGCACATACAAACAGTTGGAAAGGAAGTTTTTAATAGCTTTGGAAACTGGCTACTTGATGCTAATAGTGACACTCTACAAATGATAGTTTCTCAAGTGCAATGTGGAATCTGAGACTTTATCAATGAGCTTCCTATACTGTTACATTAAGTCCACAGGTCTCTTATCTCTTGTCCATGAATGATTCTGTAACATCACACATTAATCATTTGGAAAATGCTGATTTACTGAATCATGCAGATCTTTCAAATGTCAACACATTTCATCATACAAATCACATTCGTTAGTATCACCACCAATCTCAGAAGAATCTAAGTACAGTGGTACCTTGGTACTCGTCATTAATTTGTTCCAGAACTCATGATGAATGCTGAAACTGATGAGTGCTGAACAATGAAGCATTTTCTCTTGGTGGGCATTGGCTGACTCATACAAGTTCTAGCAAGTGCTGAGTGCTGAAATGTATTTTCCTGGAAAATGTGAGCACTACAGAGTTGGATGAGTCTGGAGCTGATGCGTACTGAGGTGTCTATCGGAGTTTTCCAAAATTCTAAGTTTTGCTTGAATGCTTGATTGTTGGCAGTGCTGTTTAGTTACCCTTGGTGTGAAAGGCTCATTTCCCAGAAACCCTCTACCAAGTAGTCAGGTTTTAATCCTGTAATTTGCTACAAGTATAAATGGTACATACCTCATTCAGCCTGCAATTTAGCTACATAACCACTTTTCCTCAAGATGCACTTCACTGTGCTGTCTGCATGCTGCCATTGTCACAACATGGCGGTGTTCCCAAAGGTCAAGGTTTTATACAATTGATTTGTATTTGTTCTCAGACATTTCTAAGTGGAGTTGGCAGTACTTTTGCTGTAAGCGAGGCAGTGAAGACTACCACCACTAGCTGGTGCTGCTGCCATGGCTCCTGCCAACAGGGCAACAGCTCACCTCCCTGCCCCTTGGCCCTCAGGCACTCCGGACTCCCAGAGATCTAGAGCACATTTGAGAAACACTGCCTTTGTATTGCCCCCGCTATCTCCTCTATGGTCATTACTTCTGTAGTATAAAAATCAGTGAAGTCCTCACTGATTTGGGGAACAGTCCTCAAGGCAAAACCCCTATCTGGTGACACAAGGGAACTTTAGTGAGATGGCAGAAGTGACCGCCTATGGCAGTAATTCTCTACCTTTTTTCATTATCATTCTAAGGAGCTGTATCGGAAACCAAAATCCTACTTGCCCACACCATGAAAATTTAATACCACAGATGTACTGCGGTCCCTTGGATGACCACAAGCTATTATCTCTAAGGTTTCTTTTGTCCTCCACCCAAGTACCAATTTGCAGCCCCACTGAGAATGTATGGCCTGAGGCCAGTAACTCTACCTTTTAGGGTTCACACCCTTCCCCATTAATTTTTTTGGCATTCCCTGTAGGCACAGAAGATACACGAGGGTTTCTAAAGGAAAGCAGAGGTGTCTTCAAACTAGTCTACACTAAAAAAATATATCATCCTTCAATATTTATCAAATGTCTTAAATGCAAGGAATTAGAAATCAAGAAGGCAGGACCTATTTCAGAAAAGGACTCATCATGGAAATGTTTTAAATTGTGAATGTCATAATATAAACATGACTTGGGACTCAGGGATTATTTTTATAAGGCTTACAATTTCAAAAAGTTCTGAGATACAACCCTCCTACATATAGACATGGTGATTATAAGTATCACACTCACCCCACCCCCATAACTTTGACCTAAAGGGAAGCAAAATCTGTGGCATAACTACAAAGTACTGCTGTTCTGTAGTTGTTCACAAAGGGCCCCACGTTGAAGGAGGGAAACAGTGTGTGGTCCTGTGGCCCTGCACATCTACCCAGCTCTGACTGGGAGAGAGCCACGTTAAATGAAGGCCAGGCTGCTCCTTCAAGTCCTCTTGGGCTAGGAAAGTCTTATGATTCTGTCCTAAGTAGCGGTGGCTCAGAGGACTTCAGGCTGCTGATACTTCCAGAAGGCCACCTCCCCATCATCACTGCAAGAGGCCAGGAGTCCCTGCTGCTTGGGGTTCCAGGCCACGCAGTTGACATCCTGGGAATGGGCCTGAGGCAAGTGGGCTGTCAAGGAGAAGGTGGGCTGCTGCGGATCTGAGCCAGGGTCCTCCTCAAACACTCGGATGGCATCATCCCCACAAGCTGTAGCCAGGGCCCCGGTCAGCGAACACCTGAGAAGAACACATGCATTGGCACATATGCTGGTGGCTGCTCTCTCCCCAACCCAGCAAGTTAGTATTGAGATATCGATCCTAGAGTCCTTGGGCTGCCTTTCTTCCCAGGCTTCAGCTAACATCTCTTACTGAAGAACTTCTCTAATTAATATACAGCCACAGACATCACCCCATAAGCATTCCAGTGCTGCCATCTAGGTTTACCACCCAAATTAATTAACCTAAAAAACTACCTAAGATTCTGATTTACACTTTTGTCACTTAACATAAGCAATTCCCTTTGTCATGAAGTTTGTGTAAGCATTTTTTTAAAGTGATATATTGGGCCACTGAATTTTATGTCTATTTGTTATTCCCAAATGTTTGCTAATATATGTAAGGCTTAGAGGCACATTAACTTTTTTCATTATTTAGGATTATTTCCTAGGGAGAGATTCTTCGGGTCAGAACTGCCCGACTGGCTCTCTTATATGAATAGCCTTGGCTTTTATAGACTCCATAAGGGTAGAATCAGTTTTACCAAACCATAAAAATCCTGGCCATGAATCTGCTTTCATTAATGAGGACTGCTGAATGGTACAATGCTGTGTGATCTCCTGCAAAGGCCAGTGCTGCCCTCACTGTCTGGGAACTTAATGCAGGTGCAAACCTGGGTCTGAGTCTGTTGTGGACTCCTGTGAACCTGGACCAGCCAGCTCTAAGCCAGCACGGTGGACAGTCTGGCCTGTTCTGAAGAAATAAAGGTGCTGCTCTCTATTCCTGTGCACTCTCCAAGCGGGCACAGAGGTCTGACTTTTCTAAAATGTCCCCAAATTGTGGAGGGGTGAGTGGAGATGGGGAAAGGAGATGGAGGTCTTACCAAGCAATGTCGTAAATGGTCCTGGAGTGGAAGCCTGACAAAGTACAGACACATTTCCAGCTGGGATCAGAGCTGCTGCATGCCACCCCTGCACAAAAGATGAGTCCGAGACACATCTGTGTCCCGGGCACCGCAGAGGACTAAATGCCGCACTGTAGAGGAGATCCTAATTCGCCCTCCCTCACTCCAACCCTCCATCACCAGTCCCTATCTTCATTCTCCTGTCCCCATCTTCACCCATCTGTCTTACATACTGTGGCCAGACGCATTTTTACAGAATTCTGAGAAGGAAATGTCCTGTTCTTGAAAACAAACAACAAGAGAAAAACCCTTTTGCTGCAGACTATTTCTGACTAGGTAGCCTGCCTTCAAAGGCCACCCAACAGCCAGCCTGACTCACCTTATTTCTCCCCAGATCTTTTATATACCTATACTATGTTTCACCTAAAGGAATCACCACTTCTGGAGTAGACCTAGGCTTTCCCATCTTTAATGCCTTTGTTCATGCTGTTGTTTTCACCTGGAGTTCTCTTCTTGTGTTGAAATCCTACACACCCTGGCCTGCCCAGGTAGCTCAGTTGGTTGGAGCCTCATCCCTGCACCAAAAGGTGGGTTTGGTGTCTGTCTGGTCGGGGAGCACCTAAGAGGTAACTGATATATGTTTTACTCACATTAATGTTTCTCTCCCTCTCTCTACAAACAATAAAAACATCCTCAGGTGAGGATTAAAAAAAAAAATCCCCAAATCCTATACACCCTTTCAAGTTCCAATGAAAATGGCCTTTGTACATAGCCTTCCTTGATTCTTCTAGTACTCTGGCGCCCTCCCATGGCCCATCTCCCTTTCTACCCCACCCAGTTTGCTGTGCTTCATCGGTGTCTCAGCCCCTGAGCAGACTATCAACGTCTTGTAGAAAAGTCTTTCTTAGCTCTACACCTGTTCCCTCACCTTGCTCATTGCCTGGCAGATACTGGTGCCAGATGCGCACGGTACGGTCATCACTGCAAGACGCTAGACGCTGGCCGCTGGGGTCAAAGGCCAAGCTCCATACAGTGGATTCGTGGCCCTCAAGGGTGGCACAGCATACCCAGTCATCCTCTTCCTCCCGATAGAGCTTCACTGTGTCATCATAGCTTGCAGAAGCTAACAGCTGGGGACGTAAGAAAACGCAGCACTTATGGCCCGAGAATTGCCTGTGGTTCCAAAACCTCTCCCTGCCAGGACAGGACAGTCCCAGGAAGCTTTGTAACAGGGATTAATGTCTTTTGGCCACAGATAGCATTCCCTAGAAAAACTAGGCTAACGCTGAGGGGCAAAAGGGGGCCGGGGACAACACTCCATACCAGAATTCCTTCCCAGAGAGATAATCTGCCAGACTTTTACCTCCTGGCTTGGGTGCCAGACCACATGCTTGACATCCTGTGTATGGGAGTTGAGGACACTGACACATTCGTACTCATCTTCTTCATCAACTGTGGGAAGAAAACAGAAAAGAGCCCATGAGCTGACCCTGTCAGGGTCACATAGTCTGTCCAATGGCTCCCAATTGCACCTAGAGGGACCTGGACTTACCTTCCCAGACCCACACACTCTTATCTCGACTGCAGGTAGCAAGGAGGTTGCCAGATGGGGCCCAGGCCACTGACTTGACTTCATTTTCATGGCCTTCCAGGGTGGTCACACACTGTGAAAAAGGAAGAGGGACAAAAATCAACAGAGACTCCCGACAGCCCACTGACCCAGGTTGGCTCAAGTTCCCTTATCCGCCCTGGAGAGCAAATGGCCAACAATCCTGGTCCCGTCCAGCCTGGTTACCTCAAAGTCATCCTGATTCTTCTTCCAAATGCAAGTGGTAGCATCAAAGCTGGCAGAGGCCAAGTAATTGCCACAGGGAGACCAAGCCACCTTCCTCACAGTGCGCTGGTGGCCTTCAGAAAGGACAGATTTGCAGATCCAGTTGTCACCTAAAAGCAGAGGCCAGGCCAGGCATTGGGGCTGGGTGCACCGGAAGACACATAACACTATCAATGCCATCTGACAACTGGAGCTAGTACTGGAGCCAAGCTGGAGGCCAAGTCCAATAGGCATATTTAACAACATGCTTTTAGGAAGAAGTAATTGACCCTACTTCCTCTGGAGGCATCCTATGGGGAGTCACCCTCCTAATTTAAAAAAGTCAGTGGCTCCCAAATGCTCTCGGGATAAAATTTAAACTTCGCCATCGTCGCAAATTACTCTGTAGGTTACTCTCCACTGCTCTTCTCTCCTCGTTTTCCTGCCTCAGCAACTATCACAATTTCCTCTACAGTTCTAGGCTGTCTCCTGTGGTTTTTGCTTCTAGTTCTTGTCCGAAAAGTCTTCTTGGAGTGGCTCGAGTCCACGTCGAGGTGGCCTCTTCCCACTCTCCCTGGGCGCACCCCTAGCCCTGCACCCGCAGTGCAAGGCACCCGCACTGCAAGCACGTGGAACTCCCGGCAGCGGGGTCGCGCGCCCAGACCGGGCCTTACCCTCCATGCCCCAGATGCGGACTCTGCGGTCGCCCCCGCACGAAGCCAGCAGAGTTCCTGCGGGGTTCCAGGCCAAGAACCAGCAGCGCGAGTCTGGGTGCGCCGGAACACGGCCCAGCAGCACCAGCGAGTCCTTCATGGCGACGTGACGCAGGATGAGAAGAGGGGAAGAGCACAGGCGGATAATGCCAACGCGCAGATTCCCGCGACCTTCCTCGGCCTCCGGGGCCGCGAGTCGGCCACTTACACCTCAGGACCTTGGTGGACCTGGGAAGTGAAGTATCCTCTATACCGCCGCGTTCCCTCCTGGGAGTTGTAGTCGACCCCCGGCCCGGCGACAAGCGTAGTGGGACAACATGGAACTACTAGTACCGTGAGGCCCCACGAAGGGAGGCGGTGGTGCGTCAGCTTGTGGCGGTTGCCGAGACTGGGCGGGGAGCGGGAGGAGGCGGAGGCAGAGGAAGAGGAAGCGGAAGTGTGTCGGCCCGGGTTGGTCCGGGTGTTTGGGTTTTAGGGCCTGGGATCCCTCGACCTCGGGCTGCTGAGGAGCCTGTGACCGCCGGAACGGCGCCATCCCCGAGGCCTGCTGACTGGTGAGGAATAGCTATTGGTGTGGGAAGGGTCTTCTCCGGGCAGAGGTTGCGTCCCAGAGCGCCGTTCCTGGATCCTGGGACCCGGATCCCTGCGGCCCAGCCTAGTCCTCCTTCCCTTGACAGCCTTTGGCTGAGACTCCGGGTCCGGGTCTCTCTTCCACCAGTAACCCATGTCTCCGCCCCGTTCTTCCCATTTCCCAGGCAGTTCCTAGCTCTCTCCGGGTCGTCATTCTGCATCTCCACTCCAGGGACCCAGTCACCGTCCCCGCCCCCTGAATCTCTGCAGTCCTCTTGTCTCCTCCCCGCCCCTGGTCCCAACCTGCCCAGCCTCCGGTGTCGGCCCTGGCAGTCCTGCGCCTTCCTTACCTGCTTCCTCCTTGGAACAGGCAGACTCTGCGCTCCGCGGAGATCGGCGGCGAGCATCAGCGACTCCGGAGCGACGGCGGGCGGCCCCGGGCATGTACGCCCCGGGAGGCGCAGGGGTGCCCGGCGGGCGCCGGCGGAGGAGCCCGGGAGGCAGCGCTCTGCCCAAGCAGCCGGAGCGTAGCCTGGCCTCGGCCTTGCCCGGCGCCTTGTCCATCACAGCGCTGTGCACTGCCCTCGCCGAGCCTGCCTGGCTGCACATTCACGGTGGCACCTGTTCCCGCCAGGAGCTGGGAGTTTCCGATGTGCTGGGCTACGTGCAGTCGGACCTGCTGAAAGGTAAGACCACCGCTCGCCGGCCCTCTTCCGCCTGGGCAACCCGGGCTCCTCGGTGGGGGGTAGAATGTAGTGCGGCCTGGAGCTGTGGTAACTAGGGCAAGATTCGGTTGAAGGCAACAGCCCCATTGTTGCCTGGCGTTCGTGCCCACCAGCTGGCTCTTGGGGGTCCGGCTTCTCATTAATTAGATGTTATTCAACCACGCACCTACTCTTCATGCCACACTAATCTGGACTGCTGCTATTTTAGGATTCTGCCTGAGGAAGGGCGCTGTATACCGAGAGAAGATAAGGGTGCTGGGCATTGCAATTAGCTGTCTCCTTTTAAGGAACCTCTGGGATGTAGGGGGATTTCTTTAGGGCAGCTGATTGATGAGAAAACGGAACTTTTAATAAAGCTAGATTTTAAAATAGCTTTATTTCTACAGTAGTTGGATTTTCATTATAGAAAAGGGGAGTCTGTGGCATTTTAGTTAATTTGGATTCAGTTCCAGCCACAGTAAAAACAGTTGGAGTTTGGCTCTCGGAACCTTACATCTGTGCCCTACTAAGGTGAGGTTTCTATGCTCTTCGTGTTTTCCAGCCTGGTGGGCAGAGAAGAGGGGAAAGGAACTAGGGACTGGTCAACTTACTGGACACAGGGGAGGCCACGCAGGGCAGTGGGGGGGGCAGCGACTGCAGTCCCGGGGAGCCCCATAGTTGCTCCTGCCCACCCCTTTCTCCAGCAGTGAAGATACAGCCTATGTGGTGTGAGTTCAGGATTGTGCTACCTTGCTTTTACCTGAAAAATGGTCAGTGGACCCACCATAGCCCTTAGTACCAGCACAGTTCACCACCCCTATTGTCTTTTTAAAAAAAAGTTATTGAGGTGACTTTGGCTGGTAGGGTCATACAGGTTTCAAGTGTACATTTCTGTGATACATAATCTGTATATTGCACTGTGTGCCCACCACCTAAAGTCAAACCATCTTTCCCACCATATATTAGGCTTCCTCAAGCCCCCATCCCTTTCTGTCTGGTAACTGCCACATTGCTGTCTGTGTCCATGAGTTTGTTTACTGTCCCACATATCAGTGCAATCACATGGTTCTTACCTTTTTCTCACTGACTGATTTCACCCCCTGGTCCTTTGAACCATTTTGTATTTTCTCCCTGTGCCACTCTCTGGCTGTGATGTGTTTCAGGTGTTTGCTGCCCCTCAGAAAGCTTTAATGTTAGATGTCTTCATGTCGCCTCTTTAAGGATTCAGGCACTGGGGTTTGGTGAGAAGGTCAAGTTCTCCTCTGTGCCTTGGACCTTATACCACCTCTACAGGTCTAGGCTGAAAAGCTGTATCCTTGTGGCCTAATATATTTTTCTGAGAGTTCTCTGACTTTTGCAACTTCATTGAGTTTTTGAGGGATTAGGATTAGGATGATTTAGAGAACAGGATGGGGACTTCTGGTTTGTTCCCAGTCTGTTCCCTGATTCATTAAGACAGAAGGCTTTGTGACCTGCAGTTTTTTCTCTGGCGTGTAGGTGATCGCAGAAAGGCCATCAAGCTGGGGTTTGAGTCTGGATGGCTTTTCTCTTAGCACATTCCCCTTACTTGCCTTCTTTGAAGCACAGCTGCCACCATCACTTCATCTAGACCCCTTGGTATTTCAGTGTTTCAAGGGCTTGTTGCACCTACAAACCAGGAGAGAGTTCCCGATGTTTCTCCCATTCAGATCATTCCCAGGGAGGCTCATGAAATTCATCCTACTCGGGGAGAGGCAGTGTGGTCCCTGGTCCATATTTCCGAAGTCCGGGAAACCGCGTTTCAGAGAAGTGAAGTCACATCTCTCCAGGCCCACACACCTGGGGGTGGCATGGCTGCATCTGCCTCATCTACTGACCCAATAGAAACTGATGTTTTTTATCCTTAGTTTTACTTCACCTGTCATAGGAATGATCTCAGGGTTATTCTACTTTGGTGCGTATCCTTCTCAAAATCATGTAACAGAATAAATTCATGGTATAGGTTCTTCTTTGTTCACATGTATTTTGTGGAACTTTTTTCTACTTTAAATGCCCAGACTGATGATTGAACATGCAACCTTAGTGTATTGGGATGACGCTCCATCAACTGAGCTACCCAGTTAGGGCCCACATACATATTTTTATATATACATAAAGCATGTTGCCTTAACCTTTATGTTTGCTCATCTGTTTAGAGATCTTAACCCATGGACAGTTTTGACCTGTGGCCATCTGCTTGGGCATTGCAAGCTAGGAATACTTGGTGTCCATTCATAAGAGAGTTGACAGTGGCACCTCATGAGCTATCACAGAAGGTGGCAAGGAATCAGGAGGTCTTGATTGCTTCTCTGCTTTTGCTCTGTAGTGATTGAGTTTTGGGTACCCAGTGGGCTTTTAAACATGATCTCCTGTGTGATGATGCTGATCCTCGGGGCCTAACAGATGTCTTAGAATGACAGCTGTGTCTGGTGCCTACAGATGCTTCCAGAGGGAGAGCAGACCCTGTCAGGTCTCTGCAGGTGACCGGAAGCGTGCCGGGTCAGCAGGCTTCGCAGCGGTACCTTCCTGTTTCTCTGACCCCTGCCTGAGTGCCAGGCCTGGTGCTCAGTACACTTCCTGCCCTCTTTAGTTTCTCCTAAATGACACCTTCATTTGGTAGGTGCTGTCATGACCACTACTTCACAGTGGTCTTAGGCTCAGGGAGGTCAGGTGACTTGCTTAAGGCCACACAGCTGATTAATGTGGCGTGGCCTCTACTCTTACCCGCACACCTCAGTGATCTCCAGCATCTTTTCCTTTTATCAGAGCTGTGCAAGTCCTTCATCACCATCAGTGTTTAGCTCAGGTTGGTGATCTGGAGGCAAAGCCACTCACTCTCCTGCAGAGCCCTCTAGGCTTTAGCAAATGCAGACTGGCTCAAATAATTGTGTCCTGAATTCTCCCACTCCCGCGGGGTTCCTGCTTCTCACTCTGCTCTTCAACCTGGGCTCAGGTGCACAGATACACCCAGGCCTCCAGTAGCCCCAAATCGTGGGACCCCAGATAATCGTTTCTTCTGCACATTATTCCCTCTCGGCCTCTTAAGTGTGGCCAGTGAAGGGCAGCACTGACAGCAGCCTTGGGAAGCACCTTTGAGGAATGAGGAGGTCTGGGATTTGAGGTCAGGAGAATCATGATTCTCCTGAAGGAGACTCAACACTGAAGAATTCTGTCTTCTTAAGGGAGTAGATATTTGTGGTCCTCTCTGCCATACTGATGTCTGGCAGGAAAGGATGAGCTCAGTTCTAAGCATGTCCAGCATCCTGTCTGTCTTCTCTGTGCACTAAGCTCCTCTCTCTCATGACAGACCACCTGGGCTGTGGGGCAGGCCACTGGAAGTTCAAAGGCAACCAGAGGACCAGTCAGTATGCCTGAGGAGTGGTGACTGATGCAGCTGGTGCTCCCAAGTCTTGTGGGGCCTGTCCTTTGAGGCAGCTTGCCTAGGACCATTGGTATCTGTGGTGATGGGCCAGCCAGGCACTAGGGGACCCTGTTGGACTTGAATATCAGAAGCCTGGCTAGAAGCTGAAGTCACAGTAGGGAGAGGCTATGCGGGTGGGGAGGATGAGTGCTGAGAAGTCCTGGGTGGTGGGGAAGTGCCTCTAACTCACAAGGACTCAAGTGAGGGGAAGAGAAGGGGGATGGGACAGAAAAAGGAACCTGGCCAGGAGCCGCTTTAATCTTCCTGCCTGCAGCCTGTTTGGGTTGGGAAGGGGTGAGAGCAGTGGGCAGGTAGACAGGAAGAGCCAGGCCTTCAAAACAAATCCAGCCCCATGACTCACTAATGACCTTGGGCAAAGTCAGTGTCTTGGGATCTTACTACACAGCGGCTTCCTTTTTTCCTGTTGACTGGAGGGGACAGCCAAGCAGTAGTTAGGAAAATAAACAGCACAACTGGAAGGTAGGATGTGTGCTCTCTCTTATCACAGTGTAGTGGACTGCACCACTGGTTCAAATTAATTAATTCACTAA